GAGTTGGTGATCCAGATTATTCTGAGGCAAAAATGGATTGTGGTGCAAGTCAGCAAGCAAAAGGCAATGAAATGCTGATGTGATTGGCTTTGGAGCATAAATCAGTTTATTTGAGACTTCCCCACTAAATGGCCCCTAGATAATGTACAAGTCCATGATGAAGCTACATATATGCAAGTCCTTGGCCTAACTGCATCTATTAATCATTAAAAAAATCAGAGGGATAAAAATGATTAGGCTAAGTCAAAGTCAGCAGTACAGAAGGCTGGCTGATGAGCAGGAAACTCACATTTGAAGGGGGTTTCTTGAACCAACTGTGTGAGATAAAATCAGGATACATGATGAGAAATTGAGCATTGTAGTGAGAAGCAATAGAGTCAACAGCAGTGATGTGGAAATGCCTGATGCATCTCTTGCAAGAGATCTGGGCATTGAGGAATTGAGTGACTGTCCCCTTTGCAGATTCTTGATCCAAACTTTGATGACCGAGGTTGCTGTAATAATAGTGGTGGTCCCAAGCTCAGTATGGCTCTGAATGAAGGCTTAAGTATCTCATTAAAGGGGATAGAAATAACTTATGGCTGATTGCATGAGGACTCCTGCTGAAGCAAGTATGAATATGTCAGGTCAGAGATAATGTCTGAAATTAATGGATCACATACTTGAATTGTGCTCCAACTTTTGCAATAACTGACCACTCTGGACATCATACATTCAAGCAAATTCATCCTGCCCTCCTGAGACCAACCAACCCTTGTTGATGAAGGTCACTTTGAAGATGGCAGTATTAGCATTGCCATGTGAGTAAGTTTTGATTAGTTGCATGCTCGGGAGACTGTAAAGGTCAACTCCATCATGTAAGTTGGTGACTGCCAAATAATTCTCGTTGAGGTTGGAATAAGCACTGTAATGCTGCTGAGTTACAGGTACTGAATGCAAGACACATGAATGCACATGTGGGTATGTAGCTGTTTTGACCACTTCAATGACCATGGTTCAATGGAATAACATTCACTACCCCAACTGTTAGTGCAGCAAAATGTGATAACAATACAAAATGCACATTTTGTGAGTTTCAAGAGTGCAAGTTAGTATATTTGCACCATCATTGTGGAAATGAATGCTAGTGGCAGTGCACTTAAAGTTGTGAACCGTTCCTGTGGCTGTGCCGGATATGAAAGGTAATTTACTATAAAAGGAAGTTCCCACAGGGAGGGGTCAAAATCTTGGTCACACATTTTTGGAAATGACACAGAATGCTTTAAAAAGTCTGGCAAAAATTCCAAAAAAGGGTCAGAATATTTCTGCCTAAAACCTCTAGAGTGCTATGATTAGATCATGTTCAGACAGGTTGGGATTGTCTTTTAGGTCCAATTCATACCCAAAATCAAATTCTGGTTTTCTATTCCCCCCCTTTGCTAAATTGTCAAAAACATCAGAGGGGGCATATGACTCACCAGAGGTCTTCCTCATCACATTCTATCCCTCTAGCACTTCATGACATACCTTCTACCCTTGTATATAATGAGTTTGAGAGGTATGCCTTACAGAGCAGTCAGAGGGAGGTACAGGGAGGGATGGGGGGATGAACCTTGTTCATCTGTATGGTGTATTAAATTAATAAAGCAAAAAACAAGCATTGTATGGGTATGATTTTCATCTGCTAGCATAATTAACTGTCAATATCAAATGAAGCTTGTGCAAAGGGTCCACTGCAATCAACAATGACCCATGAATTACAATCTAAAACCTGACCAATACTGCACTGAATTGTTGTAAGGTCTACAACCTTTAAGGCCCTTATGCCTGCAGGCAAGTTTTTGAAGAGCACCAGCTGTGTCAGGGCCCGGTGCTGTTTCCACCTTGAGACTCTGAATGATGGCAAGTATCAATATGCTCAGCTTCATCAAGTGCAGCTCCTCTGAAACTGGAAGATTGATGACAACAATATTGCAAAGCTGTCCATAAAAATCCTTTGGCCTATACATGGGATTGGCATTCTGACAGTGAGCATTGACATCAATAAGTTGAGTATACTGCAGGTATGCATGTACAACACAAACCTAAGCATATACGTGGGTACTAGTTGCTGAATGTAGGCACTCATGTGAACATACAATGCATCTCAATATTTTTCCGGAAGACATACCATGTCTCAGGCATGCATGGTGCCACCACCTTCCAATTGGCACACCTTCCCCCATTGTGACAGATGAGTTAAAATGTATTTTTGAGCTGCTGCAGCTGTGTGTGGCTAAGCTGATAGTGATCTTGTTTGCAAGTGGTGTGGGTATATTAGAGCTCTTGTTTGGTGGGAGAAACACACTCTTTGGATCTACATAATATGTTTACTAATCAAGGGACAGTTCTCTAGATGGCAAAAACTCACATTCAGGTATGGAAAATGTTTTCTTTGCAAGTGGCCATTTGATTTTGTATGAAAGATCAAGGTCATATACCAATTCTAGAGCATGGACCAATGCAATATGATGCAATTGCTGAGGTCCGAGTAGGGAAACTGACAACTTTTGATGACCAGGAGCAGTTTACCACAGTATTGCTCCATTGGAAAAGCCCAGTAAGCCCAAACAGGACCAGCAATTGCTATACTGTCAGTGATGTGCAGTAGCACATACATGGTTAGTGGGCATGCAGAAATTTGTTCAGGATCATAACAGTAGTAATATCTGTAAGTTGTGCCTCTTTGAGTATCAGAAAACTAACATGAGTTGACAAATAAAATGGTACTGCTCATAATCTTCAACCCACTTTATCATACCAGTTCAGACTATTTCAATCTTCTCATCTGAAATTTTGAACTGGAGACAAATATTCAAGAGATGAACAAGCTCCACAAAATGACAATGGTAGCAGTCATTCTGAAACCAATGGTGTAAAAGTGAAGGTGCCAGGTACAATGTCCAAAAAGACCAATTGTCTGTGCTGAATTGGTGTTTCTCAGTAGCCATATTGTGCATTGGAGCACCAAATGCAGATGGTATTGTCCGACTTGATGTTCCACATGCTTGCCAATGGCTTCCTATACTGGTTTTGTCAATTGATGATCAGCTTTGGAACTGAAACCCTTGAACTGGCCAGTCCAAAGTAGTACAAGGTTCAGAATAAGATTTTCCCAGATGAGATGCATAAAGTCATATAGGAACAATGTGGGAAATGTCAGTGCAGAGAGAGTGCTCAGCAACGGAACACCCTTGATTCTAAATTTCTTGCTTAATCACTTCTCCTCAGCATCAATGGCAGAGTTCTGAACTTGGTGGGCCTGCTGCATAAACTTGGTATGAGTTTGTAGTGGGAGGGCTGTGGGATCATATCAGATATGTTCAGCAGGTGTACCATTGATTCTAAGATTGCTGTGGTCAAGGGGAACATAGTGTGTCTTGGCACTGGGTGCTCAAATACTGATAATGTTGCACATCCAACATGGGCACATGCCATTGTGACCTTTCATGTCCATGAGCATGGACATGGCGAGAATGTCACTGAATACACATATAAGGTATATGTGCATCATGAAGAGTGATTCTGAGAGTGTGTCAAATGCAGTGACTCCCATGCATGAGTCTGTTCATCAAATTGTTCAATTCAGAGGACACCTATTTCACCATTGGTCCACCCCTTCTTTGAGTAACCTAGTCTGAATGCAAAACCGACATTGATATAATATTTATATCAGTGTAAAAATCACTTACAATGCATTGGTTGGGTTATCCTGATTCCATCTAGGTTGGTATGCCTTGCCCTTGAAAATGATAGCAGGAGGCAATGATGTGCCATCTGCTCCAATGGTAACCAAGACAGTGATATTCTCATGTGTCACATCACTTTGTTGATATTGAGACTTTTTCCCAGCACCACCAATAGCTTTCTCTCCTGTAGCTCCCAAACCTGATTGAAAACCACTCTCATCAACACCCCAACAGCACTCTTGTGCAGTCAGCTTTCTGTCATCACCTGACTCAAGTGTTTCACCAAGTAACTTGAACCATGCGGCATTTGTTGTTGGATTAACAGCCTGTGCCCATTTAGAGTCCAGTGGCTGTGGACTATACATTGTCAGCCATTTGGAGTGCTTTGTGACAAACTGTTTGGTCCAGTTTGCACCCACCCCAGCTGCCGGAAACTCATCACTAGTCTTGCATGGCAAACATGCTCCTTCAACCTCTTATGGCTCAGTGAGAAACCTCACTCAGCTGTGGTCAATGCATACTCAATAATCTTCTCTAGCTTGCCTTCAAGCAACCAGCTCTTTGAAGCATTGAAATGTGTGAGCCTCTGCCCTCCCTTGTACAACCTATTGAAAGTACCATGATCCAAATGTACTTCTCTTCCAATAGCCCTTTTATGCTCTGATTCTATCTCTCTGCATACAATGCAAAGACTTTTCTTCTTTGCCAGCACAACTTTGGCCTGTTCAGCATGGTATATAGCCACAGCTCGTTCCATAGCCTGATCTTCTTCCTTGTGGCATATCTGAGCCTTATTCTCAGCTGATTTAACTCTTCCAGGCATAGATTTCAGTGTCAGTAGAGCAGAGGGTAGTTGTAAAGTGGAGTCTACAAAAATTACGCCTACAGTTTGTCCATTGACCATGAAAATGCAATGCCGCTGCAGCGAGGCGCATCATGGTGCAAATGGCACAGCCACATTCCAAATTAGAAACATTATGGCTGTTTCATTGATGCTGGGTCCGGCTATTCTGGACACCTTAATAAATCTTGTTCCTTGAGTAAGTTTACATCAGTGGAGATGCATAAATGTAGAAAAAATAGCAACTATATGCCTGTAGGTGACTGATGGTGGGGTGCTCAAAATCCAATAAATACATCCCCCCCAATCCAATTGGGCTCAGAAAAATTGCATTGCACTTGTGAAACATAGCTACATAGTACCTGCATTTTTGACACCAAAAAAAAATCTAAATATTGGAAATAGCCGTGTCAAGGAGTGATACTGTGTCAAGGACCGAGGCATTGCTGTGTGACTTGATGGTGAAGTGGCAATCACATCTTGCCTTTTGGTGGAAGTCTCCTGTTCGACTCAGGATCAGGTCGTTTAGCTATTGCTTGCTCTTTTATCAGCACCTTGCCCAGCACTCCACTTTGCATCCTCCAAGGGAACCTGACTAATATTACTTTTATTTTTACACATCACTCCGAATGTCGGTTAGAATTCAATTGAGAGCATTGAGATAGAGTCCTCATATTTTGCCTGGAGAGGTTTTTGCAGGATTCTTATCCTGTGCACGTAGTAATATCTCAAAATTTCCCAGTAAAGCTATGACCTGATGGTGGTAATCGTACTGTTTTCAATCCGAACAGAGTCGAATCGGGATCGGGTCGTGATTTTGCACTTGCAATTCACTTGCAATGGTCACACGAAGATCATTTGGCAAAATGTACATATGTGCAAATCGAAATTCAGGCTCCACCATCGTGTTTTCGTCGTCTGCAGTGCGCAAGCACACGAGGCCTACTATTTGTTCCAAGTCATGGCTTTATCTCCGGCTCGGCGCCTTCGGTAAAGGGGTGGACATTCCGGCCACTCTTACACCCGTGTTACAGGCGAGAGCTCAGCTCCGAGGGGTGACCTTTTGATGAAGCGCAGTTTCGAATCTGATATGTGTCTACCGGACTGATGCCTCGTGCAGTCTCGTGATTACTTATCTGAATTGAAACGGCCAGGCACAATTGGCGCTTGAAGGGAGCCGAGTAGGGCCCTCTGCAACCATGTACTACTTCCTTTCTCTCTTCCTTCCACAACAGTCTCCCCCACAAACTCAAACTTCAAGTTGAGAATGTCGTCGAATCCACCTACACTAGACGATACGACTTTACCTACTCCATCGAAGGAATGGGCGGACCAGGCACACGCCGCTCTGACACCCGATAACGGCACTCAGCCAGGCATCGATGTCCCTGGCGCGTTTCCCCCAGAAGAATCCATATACCCCCAGACTCAATCTCAAGCCAAGCCACCCTTAGAACGAGCTGCCTCGGGAGAGGGTGTCAAGGACAAAGTGCACCATACCGCGGAGAATTATATCGCCCCAGAGCGATTGGATCAGGCTGAACACTTCGTTGAGGGTGTCGGCAGTAAAGCTGCGCAGTACGTCCCTGCTGGGGTGGCTAGTGTTGTCAGCAGTTATTGGTGTGAGTGGAAATCATCTAGATCTAGGTCTGGGACGGTGTCTGTGCCATCTTCGTCTTCTGCGTCAAAATCAAAATCAATGTCGGAAAGTGATGTGTCAAGCACGACCTCAAGCATGACGGAAAGACCGCCGCAAGCTAGCGCGTTGTGGACTGGGGTAGGGTGGTTGATCGTCGGTACAGCGTGGCTGATCTGGGGTGGTGAACACTCATTTCCTTATTCTTTCCCCTTTATTCATTCATGGCCGTAACGCTAATCAACACTTGGCTGATTCGTTTGTCTGCTTAACAGATGGAACCAGCAAATCGTCTGCCTCGAATACATCTGCTGGTGCCGACTCGGGTGCCAACGGCAATGGGACGACCTCACATCCAATAATCGAAAAGGACAGTGCTCAACCCAGTTCAACGGACAAAGCAGGCGCCACGAAACTACCCGAAGATCGCCCTGCCACGTCGGATAATGTTACTGCTGCCGCATCTACTGTCGCCGCGTCTACTGCTACAGACAAAGACACCTTGTCCAAAGACACCGCAGGTGAGTTTCAAGCTCCTGGAAATTTCAGCTTGAAGTTCTGTTTTTTGTTTCGTTGCATTACGTTGCGTTATACGCTTATTGTTCCGAGTGGCGTTATATCAAATTTGTGGAGGATTTTTTGCACTTGTCCATTTATTGACAATGTGTTCGGTTGGCGAATTTTTGACCTTTGATGGTTATGATGTTTCCGAGCCATGCAACATCAGATAAGAGAATGACGGTGGTGACGGCGTAAAATTACGCTTTGGCTATTGTTAGATGTGATGTCTGGGGGCTGGAGGTCCTGCCTTTCTGTTTGCTGTTTGACTTCGTCTGCTGCTATTCTTTTTCCGCAATTTTTTTTTTGGTCTTTATGACATTGTATTCGCGGATGGCTGACCCACCTTTTTGCTCATCGTTCGTTCGCAGGTAAAGCTGCCGCCGATACCGGTATTTCAGGTACGCAGACGATTTCTCTGGATTTCTTTTCCAGATAATTGATTTCTTCGCTTCATTTCACAGGTGAATCTTCGTCGACCACCGGAACCCTAGGTAAGCAGATATTTTTTTTTACCACTCTTTAAAACTCCCTTTGTTCTGCCTCCCTTTTGTTATGTCTTGGAACCAACTATTTGTTCTATCTCTCCCCCCGCATATCAAACAGTACCATTGTCTTCAAGAAAACCAAGACGTTTACGTGTACCAAAATCAAGTTCTTCAAGTTTATCCCTAATCGTGTTTTCGTCATTCGTGATCGCGCCAGTGGCGTTTTCGTCACTGTCGTTCTTCTCGTCATCGTTCTTCTGGTCTTCGCATTCGTCTCATATCAATACCGATGCGAGGTTGAAGATGTTTGGAGCGTTGACGCTGATTTATTCTGTACTTGCTTTTGCAGACGGCTCTGCTGGGAACGCTGGGACTACTCCTACTTCCGCTTTGACGTCGGCTTCCTCTGCAAAACCGCCCGCTGTGGAAGATGCTCCGACGAAGACTTCTACTCCGGCGCCGGCACCGGCACCAGCACCAACCCCAGCACCGGCACCAGTTTCTCAGATTCCCCCGTCATCCGAACGTATAACCGCTCAACCTGCAGAGGCGTCCACTACTCTTTCTAGTACGGATGCTGTCGCCTCCACTGCGGCTGCGGCACCGCAAGAACAGGCAACGGAGACTAGCAAAGATAATATCTCCTCCCAGGACGTCAATGAAATCTCTGAAGGCAAGGACGACGGACCAAAGAAGGGTGATGAGAAGGTAGCGGCTGATGTAGGCGCTGGGTTGGCTGGGTTGGGAGCTGGCGTCGCGGCTATGGAATTAGGTGATAAAGACAAGAGAGATGATGAAGTAAGTTTTACGCTTTTCTTTTCGTCTGGCCCGTTATGCGGGGGTGTATTATGGGCTGCCTTGTATGCTTGGGTGTCAGACAGTCTCGTCCGATTTCTGCTCAATCCAACCCTTCCTCTCCACAGACCTCCCAACAAATTGCAAACCTGACTCCGCGCAGATACGCCCTTGGTAGTCTTCCCCCAGGGGATGAAAAGGGTCATGGCGATGCAGCAGGTGCAAGCGAGGATGGTTCTTTGGAAAGGGTAGACGGCGCTAGAGGCGCCTGGGATGTTGCTGAGAATAGGACGGCTGAGACTAAAAAAGTCCAGAATACCGGTCCCCCTCCTAAACCAGTGGAAGATGGGATTACAGGCAATCGCGGAGGCGATAATGGAGATACAAAATTGGATGACGAAACCAATAAGAAATATGCTGATCGTATATCTCATTTACAGGCTCTCGTGCAAGATGGCGCTGCTCACGATGCGAGCGCTAAAGCTCCAGCCGTCGATGTCCCCGCCGTCGCGCCGGTTGCTCCATCTGAGGACTCTGCAGCTAAACCGAAGGACCTCAGGTCTGATCAAGGCTATCACCCCGCACAGCTTCATCCTTACATCCCTAACGCCTCGTCCACCGCCTCTGGTACCACTGGCGCCAGCTCATCATCCCAATACTCTTCATTGTCCCGTAATACATCTCCGTCCACTTCTACCAAGGAGAAACACGGGCACGTACACCAGAGGACAGTCAGCACCTCTAGCGCTGGGTCTGGCTCGCCGAGACGGAAGAAAGTCGGGTTCTTCGATAAGGTTCGAGGGGAGGCCAAAGTCATCGTGGGCAAGATCGAGCATAAGAAGGAGAAGGTTGAGGAAGGGAAAAGGATTTTGCATGGGGAAGATTAGATTGTTGACTTCAATTTAAGTAGGGGTGATGGATCATGGACTTCAGACTTGGTCGGACTGCGTTAGACTTAGATCGTGATTTTGATATCGTTTGTAATTCGAAGTCTTAGTCCTTCGTGTGTAGCATTTGTGCATTGCTTGTATGGCGTCTTGATGAATCGTTGAATTTGCCGGCACTCGGCCAAGGCTGCTAGCAAGCCCGACTCGTTAGATCGCGGGCCATGGCTGTATCCTTTAAGTAGTGACTTCGAAATACTTCTGCGTTTCACTCATGCAATGGCAACCTCTTCATTAATTAAGTAGATGCATACAGGCGACTAGCTGACTAGGTGAATGCGATTATCAATTGTGGACTTCCCAGTGCCCACCGTTCCTCGATCGACCATCAGCACCTTCATATCAACGAAAGGACGATGGAACTGTTTAAAGCATTTTGTTGATTCGAGGTCTGTGCGCGGGTCAAGAAGTCTTGACTAAAGAACAATTCCTATATACCACCACCGAAAATCAATCAGTAACGCCATGAGAGGAGCAGAAATCAAAGCACATTGCACCGGCAACAATTGTCAAGCATTTCCTCGCCGTTTCCTCAGTCACCCACTTCTAACCCCCGCAATCAGTCCACATTCATGGCACTTGTAGCCCGCTGCTCCAGCATGCGAGAGACTCGATCGGAGAGAGGATATTTATCATCCCAGCAGGATCTCAAAATAACATTTCTGAGACTGGGTATGCGTTCAACGCATTCAACCAGGTCCTCCTCAGATATGTTATTAGAGATATAAAGTGTGCATAGGGAGCAGGATGAGCGATCAAGCAGAGCAAAGAGCTCCAACTTTTGCCAGGAATCCTCAATGAAAAACGAAAAATTGGCCTCCTGCAACCGAGGCAGCGTGAGGTTGTTCCACATACATCCGATATCAGTGTCAAGTAGGTTAAGCTCCAATGAGACTAGGTTTGGCATTAATACGTGGGGATGAATGACTCCATCGTACTCGCCTGACACACTCCGGAGGTGCAGACGCGAGAGATTGTGAAATTGGCGAAAAATGTTAAAACACTCGTTGAAAGGGAGAGATTCCCCATCAAATTCCGTTAACTGGGCCCACGGAAAGTGAAAGATATCTAGGCTAGACCTATAGTGTATGATGAAAAGATGG